GGCCCATTGCCCCTGCACTACCGCCACTACATTGCCATCATGGTATGAACATGCTCTACAGTCAATCACAGTCTCAAATAATATCTCAGGTTAATTGATAAATGTATTTGTGTTTCAGGCTGCGGCGCGGCATCACTGTAGGTACCTGGTGTCTCTGCACTCGGCTCAGTTTCTGCGGGTTGGCGGAGACCCGTTATGGCTTCAGGGGTTAGAGGCTGCACCCCCGCGTCTACGGCACCTTGATCACATCAACAAGGTCCTGGCCCATCAGCCTTGGCTCACGGCACGCTCGCACATACAGGCTCTGCTCAAGACGGGGGAGCAGTGCTGGTCTCTGGCTGAGCTCGTCCAGGCCGTGGTTCTGCTGGCCCACTGTCACTCCCTCTGCAGTTTCGTTTTCGGTTCTGGTTCTGACTCGGACACCACTTCCACTCCCAGAGTGCATCACGGCACGCCCCCTGGCTACTGTCTCTGTGACGCTGCCAACGGCAACACTGCTGGACCCACAGAGAAGGTGCCACGGCGAAGGGTACAGATGATCATTAATTTCAGTTGGTAAACGAGGTTAGGTTTAGGTTTGTTTGGGTTTGAATAAAAAAAACAGCTGTTAAATAAAAAAACAGATAAAATACATAATCAGTAATTGGTAAGAACATAAAGAGCAAATAAAAAGCCAACATAAAGGCAAATCAAGTAAACAGTGCAATTATTTATTTGTTTATTTTTATTTTTCCCCCCAAATGTAACTGCAGTATTATTATTATTCACTTCTGTTCAAAAGTTTGGGGTAAGGAAGATTTTTTAAATATATACTTTTATTCAGCAACGATGCATAAAAGCACATACGTTAAAAAACATATTAGAATGATTTCTGAAGGATCATGTGAAACTGATGGCTGGAGTAATGATGCAGAAAATTTAGCTTTGCATCACAAGAATAAATTACATTTTAAAATTATATTAAAAAAGAAAAAGTCATTTTAAATTGTAATATTTCACAATAATACTGTTTTACTGCGTTTTTGATTGAATAACAGCACCCATAGTGAGCATAAGAGACTTCTTTCATAAAATATTTAAAAAATGGTAGTGTACAATAAAATTACTTGAATTATATCACAAACTACAAATGAATTCTACCAAAACAAATAAATAAATCATACATCAAAACATCACAGTCTTCCTGCTCTTCTGTAATTTTTATAATAGGCTGGCTTTGATCATGGTGATACCACTTGAATGCTTGGGAATTTGGGACACTATCAACACTGTAGAAAGACTGCTATCATTTATTTATTTTTTTTAACTCAAATATCAGCTTGGCACTTAAATAACAATATTTTTGACATCCCTATTTGACAGCAGTGTGCAAACCGTGTGAAGTCCGTTGTAATCCAGGCATAACCTGCATTGTTGGCTCTTTTTTTAGTCCTTAGACTCCAGCTGTGAAGTCGCTTGCCTTCGAGAACAAATTCAAATATCACAGGAGGAGATCAAGGAAAGAAAAGGAGACCGACTCCATTCACAGACACTCCTACATGCAGGTAAGATGTTCATCAGTCTAAAGCCAGTGTGTCGTGTAACCATGTTTCCCAATGCTGCTGTAAACAGGATGTGTAATTTTGGATTGGGATGAGTGTTTAGAGAGTTATT